TTGACTATCGATGATAAGCCCAAGGTAAGTATTTCGTTCAACTACATCAATCTTGACAAAACTACAATATACCCATATAGTGTGTAAGCATTGGTGGCTATGAGTTATTAGTTTGGGTACCTCGTCGCTTCTGTTTTTGGTACCACTGATGTACATAACATTTAGTTTTATTAAAATTAATTACTAGGCCCATATCATGTGACCGTTTAGTTAACATGTTAAAGCCATCTTGCAGTTGACTCATAGTGTGAGTGATATTTTTTCCATCTATAAATAAACATGTGTCATTAACGTATGTGAGGTAGTGTAGCGGGCCCAACATTGATCCTTGAGCCGTGCCCAAAGTTACATTTACAGTTTTGCTTATTGCATATTTTACTTTTACAACAAACTTCCTGTTTTCAAGGTAATCCTTGCACCAATTCAATAAAGGTCCTCTAATCCTACTATCATGCAAACTATTTATAAGCTTATTATGCCTGAGTGCGTCGAAAGCTTTACTTTAGTCGATCAATACTACAAACTGTTTTTTTTTTTTCGTTTAGATGTTTATATAAACTATTAGTAAATTATGTTAACAACTGTAATGTATTCTTATGAGGCTGAAACCCATATTGTTTTTCTTGTAATATTTTGTTGTTCACATAAAACTCATAAATTTGCATACAAATATATTTTTCAGCAATTTTATCAATTGTGGGAAGAATAGTTATTAGCCTATAGTTTTCGTAATCCGATGTTCCACCTTTTTTGTATATCGGTCTGACAATACCGATTTTTAATTCATTGGGGTAGTTATTCTTCTTAATAATTGCATTAATGATATTAGCAATGGCTATATTAATTTTTTTTTTTGCAAATATGTTTTAAGTCTATGGCTCTAATGCTATCAAAACTAGGAGTTTTGTAACTATTTAATGAATGAATATTTTTTTCTACAGTCTGTATAAATTTGTATATCACTGAGGGGCATGTCATGTCATTTGTTTTTTCCCAATTAATATAATTTAATGATTTCATGAGATTAGAATTATTGATACAGGTCTGAAATTTAGGCACAACCTGTATATTGGCACGACGCATGCAAGCATCACTGCACGATGATCCGTCAAAGTTCAGTGTTAAAACGTTTTTAATCATGACTTAATTAAACTTTTTTTTGTACTAAACTAACAATATTAATTATTGGATTTGTGACTGCAGTCAATAGCATAGTTATTTAGGTTTACATTGAAGATTGAGTTTCGGGATAACCTGTATGTGAAAATATCTGTTCTCGACGCTTCGGCATTCTTGAAGGTACGAAACTGTCTATTCTTTGACTACGCGTATCGCTTATATAGCTACGACAATCCCTAGGCTAGTTCTCATGGCGGTTATTCTGACATATGCCAACTTATTGTTCACTAAAAAATTACTACAGTTTCTGTCATACAACGTATCCTATTCTAGTGATTTTACTGCCCACTACGGTGAATGACTTGATTCTTGTTCAACCGATCATGCGTAAAGATCTATAGCCTTGGTACTACTGGTTTTTCATCTACGCGGATCTCAGATGTGGAAAACCATGCACCTTCTTTGTTGGGTCGAACACGTGGTTGAATATGCTTTCTTATACAGTATCGAATTAGGAACTACTAAATCAGAACCCCTTTATCGTCACAATTTCAGGACACTACCCACGCTGTTTCATCCAGTTTCGGAACCTTTGGCGTCGATGTAACCAATGCCGTTCTCTAAAAAGCTTGGCGTGCTCATTCGAGCGAAGCAGTATTTCAATCCAGACACCGGTAGTAGTTATTCTGCTTTATGCTATTAAGCACGTAGGAAGGATATCAATAATAATCTACATATTAGATAGGGCTTACTGACAACTGCACTCTAAACATCAATTTTGTATAGTTTTGGTAGGAACTCGACTCCAGGCAGATAGTTGCTCCTGTATGATTATTAATATTATAGTTTGAAGTTACTTGTGATACACACGCATGTAAACAGTTAGTGGAAACGATGTTACGTTGATATGAATTCCACTGGATTTTATCTGCTTGAGACACGATCTTCATCAATTATTTACTAACTTAAACCAGCGAGGTTAAAGCTGTCGTCGAAATTTGTGTGATTGGTGTGTTGTGAAAAATATGACACATCAGTATTTTGTGAAGAATGTAGTTTAGGATGCCATATTTGGCAAACCTTAAAAACAACAAGTGTTTTATTGATACCATCACTCTGTCAAAACAAGAAAAGCACGTTGGTAGACTGTCAATCACTAAAATAATGAATGAAATTTTTGGTGTAGTTTCATCCTACTGAAAAATAAGCATAGAACAAGATACCTCTATATCCTTTACGTTGTAGATATGCAAAATACGCCGACCGAACACCTTGATCACGTATCGGTACCCGTACTTTTTTGGAAAATCAAGCAGCAGGTTAAAGAGGTCAACTGAAATAAAGAATAGCCATTTTTAAATGAATTCACAAAGGTGATGTATGTATGAAATTGGGTGCTTGACATCGCTCGAACAGTTATACAAAAATATGTTGGTAATAAAATGATAAATTATATGTATAACTAAATGGTTTTTATTTCTCTAATACATGGGACAGTCATAAAAACATTTTTTTAAAACTGAAAAACTAAATTTAATGATTTTACAATAACGAAAAGTTTTTAAAAATTTTTCTATATTTTGTCTATGGTAATAAATAATGAAGGCTATTTTTGTAATAAAATAGACCTCATCAAATAAATTATAATATTGAAACATTGAGACATATCTGTAGGGACTAATATCGTCTAAAATATATATATTTAGAAAAAATGTTGAAGAGGCTATGTTACTAAACTAAAAATACAATATTATCTGACACGACTGAATAGGCTCTTTGGTCATTGATCATTGTCTGTTCCGAAAGAGACTTAACTTGGTAACTTCGAGTTTCAACTTATCATTGTCATGCGCATTTGGCATTGTGGTTTGTGGCTGTGTTTGTGGATAGATTTTGTGTTTTTACATTCGTGGAATTACTTAACTTGACCCTTGACTTTTGTCTCGGATTATAGGACAGTAGGTTGTTGCGCCCACAAAATGACAATAATGTGGTATTTGGCACATTTATTTTTTATTTATTTACACTTTATTCGGTTAGAATCTACTAGTTAGTCTGTGGGTAGAATCTACTAGTTAGTCTGTGGTACTTGGGTAATGAGAGGAATACATAGACTTATCTACTGAGGAATAGAACAGACAATGTGTAGACTTCGGCTGCTTTTCTAGATGACACTTTACAATTAATCATTGCAGAAAATAACGAAACAAAAAAGGTTGAGTTTTATTTTACTTCATTTAATAATAACTACAAAACTGCATTCTTTTGTGTCCTTTTCAATTTATTCAAACAACTTATCACAAAAACAACTGATTTTGCTACATAATCTACACATCATAAAACATAAAATGAAAATAAAACCCCAGGTCCTAAAAAAATAAGACGTTTGAACTTTGTACACGCCGGGCCAAAGCTTGTATGGAACTAAGTTCATCTCCTTTACCTTTCAATAAACGATAAGTAGGTACATATAAATAAGATTGGTGTCTGTCAGTAATATTGAAATAACTGGTGTCTATTATGCTCAGGGTGTTATTTCTATATTGTTGAGACATAAATAACCTTTTCTTAAAATTTTGTCTGTCTTATTTGTCTGTTCAAGCTAATCTTTGGAATGGTTCAACCGATTGTGATGAAACTTTACAAACAGATAGAGAGCAATGCCGTGAGAGATCTTGGCTATTCTTTTTTTTCTGAAAACTTGAATATTTTTTTTAAAAGATAAAAAATTGGTAAAATAAATGATGTTTAATTAACTTAAATCTAAATAACGCCTTATTATTAGATCCTACTCAGGCGAGGAAAGGGTGGACCGCTACTTTATTAAATGTTCATAATAAAGCTATAGACTTCACTATAGACTCTAAATAATAATATATATTCGACTAAAAGCAAACAAAAAAATAAATTGAAAAACAAGCGTCTATGAGCGTTGTTGGGCCTCGGCTCCACGATACCAGTCATCAAAATTACATACGTATGACTTATTTCAGCTCGATCATATATCAGCAAACACATACAAACCTTGTAATAATATACTCACTATTAGACGCCCCAATATAACTCAAAGCGCTTCCAACGATGGGCCATTTCGGTGGTCCTGGAAGTTGGTCCAATGGATTTTCTTCTTCATTAAACACGAATTTCCATATAACAAAAGCTATTAATACAGCTAGTCCAATTTGCAAAAACATTTTGTACTCCAAGTAATTCTAGTTGTTTACCATCCAATAAAAAATTTGGCAGATGGATTGCAATTCACAGTTACAGACGTGAGCACTCTTGACGCTGCTTCTCATCAGCTAACCAGGTAATTTACACCTAGAGTTAACGAGATGGTGACCTGAAATATTAACAGCATTATCATCTGATAAATATACTGCAGAACATAAGCCTAGCTCTAAGAATACCATAAAACATGGTTCTGAGCAACGCGCGAACAGCGACCACGCAAACATAACGACACTCCCTCATCACGTTTTCGAATGTCCTAATTAAAGTTTATTTTGTGATAATATCTGAGAGAGACTCCTCGTATAGGCTGATGGTGACCACCGTGGGGTTTTAGCCGGTAGGATTCCGGCATAACCTTTTCGTTGTCCCCGCAGCGGAAGGTATCCATGAGGATTTCCCCACGAAAAAAAAATATCTAAGAGAGAATTGTATGCAATTTCAGTGTAAGAAGTGTTATTAGCAGAGCAATATGATAACATAAGTCATTTAATCAACAATCATATACAAGCCTTATTAAAAACACAAAATATATCCTCTGAAAGTAGTTTAGAAATAAGAAATCTTATTGGTGTGATGAATAGAAATTTAAGAGCACTTGCAACATTAGGTGAACATGTCGGTCACTGTGACACAATGATTGTTTACGTAATGTCAAAAAAAATTAACGCGGTTACGAATCGGCTATGGGAAGAATACAGGTGCAGCTTAGATTATAACTCACCAAGTTCACAAAAATTCATAAAATTTTTAAACAATAGAGTGTGATGTATTGGATACATTGAGTGCTGGAGTAATTATTCCTATTATACTTAACGTCAAACTCGCAAAACCTCAATCACATCCTTTAACATATAACAATAATAATTACAACAGTTCAATTAGCAAGTACGAGTTAGTAAATACCGACAAGAAAAATTATAGTAAAAACATTACATGTGCTATGTGTTCACAAAGTCATTTCTTATTTACACGCCCTTCATTCATTAAACTTGATATAGATTCTCGTATAAAAAAGCCACCAAAATTAGATTATTTACGAATCGCTTACATCCAGGTCATATCCGTAACCACTGTAGATTATCTGTGGCTGTGGCAACCCTGGTTATAAGTTGTAAAAGTAATTGGTCCCGATAAATTTTAATAATTTAAATATTGTAAATTCACCATATCCACCTCAATTTTATGTTATAGCTAATAATTACTGCCGCTTTGTATTTAATGTTTAAGAAAGTTGGTACATAAATATTATAACAACAATTTGGTGTTGGAACAAAAAGTGACAGGTAACGAACATTGTTTTAAAAATTATTGTAATCCTTATTTCATATCATTCCTTTTATAAATTAAAGATTTATTCTATTACTCGGGTTATTACATTCTTTGTGGGTTTCTTTTCGAATTGTTTTAACGATAATTTGATTTGAGACTTGTAAATAGAAAAAAAAAACAACAACTTTACATTAGCTTACTCTGCTCCTTCTGTTTTCGATCTTTGTTTTCTTTTATTATTTATAATAAATAGTAAAATGAATACTCGCAACGCCAAGACGCGCCAGATGGAGAACCAACTCCAGCTTGCGCTCCAAGAACTTAAGGCGTCTAGGGAGCAGTGTGGACTGTTGCTTAAGGAAAGGGATGATAATGAAAGGGAAATAGTTAGCATAATTGCCAAAAATACACAATTGAAATGTGATATGGTTAAGCTACATACAGAATACACAAGTGTTATAAAAGAAAGAGATCAGCTACAGGGAACGGTTAATGAGTTTGATCAATGCAGCAAGGAATATGAGGAAGCTCTCAGGTTAATTGCTGCATTGAAGTTACAGTTGAATGAGGCTAATGAGCAAATAACACAATTTAAAACATATATAGATAACCTTAAAGCCTCCCAGACTCAAAGCCTGTTCTCTGAGCTTGTGCAGTGTGATACTTCAAGAATGTTACAGCAATCTGCAACAATAGACTTGACTGGTGACGACTCATCCACTTCAGGAAATACAGTAAGGATTAATTGCAGTAAAACCAAATTGAAGAAGTATATAAAAGTTAATAAATACATAAGGAAAATACAAAAATTAATAAAAAATAAGATTAATACCAAAAATTATGTTAATGTATGTAAAGAAAAGCAAGCATTGTTATATGAACTTAAGTTGTATTCAATTGAGGTGGATAACATAAAAAAATGTTATGAGACTGAAATAGAGTGCCTTAAATCAGAAATATTGTCACTTATGAACTCCCTTCAAACTGTGTCCAATAAATATAAATCAGCCCAAAATGAAATAAAAGAACACATATTGGCTATGGATAATCTGGTAAAGACTTGTAAATATAATGAGGAGCGGTTTGACTCCTTAGTTAAATATCAATGTGAGTGTCAGCGCACAATGCCAGATTCTTCAAAGTCAGTGTGTGCTGATAATATTATACCACCACAAAAACTCTATGACAGTGCCATAGCAGAGGATATTAAAATAATAAATAACTCAAATATTACTAAAAATAATATAATTGTTTATAGCGATGACATGGGAAAAAATCTAGGCATAACTTTAAATAACTCTTTAAAGGGACAAAAAGTTACAAATTGCTGCATGCTGGAGCATCTTTTAGTGACATCCTAAATAAAATTATTGTTACTAAATTTTGCCCAAATAGTACAATAATAATTTTTGTTGGTAGAAGAGGCAGTGTCAACAACAAACAGTTATTAAGATATATTGAACAACTTAATAACTTAAATGTACACAAAATTGTCTTGTTCACACTGCCTTATATACAGGGATTGCCACAAGAAAATAATTTAAGACAAAATTTAAATATACAAATGCATAATTTAATATGTAATAATAATTTAAATTTGACATATAATTCTAATGATAATAATCATAAATTTCATGTAATTGACATAAATAATTTAATAAAAAAGTTTTGGACAAAAGATAGGTATTACCTATCCAAATATAATTTAAGACTGATAGCAAATGTGCTATCTTATTATTTACTTTTTAACTCAGCCAAGTTTTTGGCTACCAAGACTGCTTTTATTGAGCATAATCATTTGACATTTAATTTGGAATCAGTTCCAACTAATTTAAATTAGTGAATGTGACAATAGAGGCAATCTCTAGCAATAATAAGAGTTTAATTAATTTTGAATACAGCCCACAAATAAGTAATAAAAATTGTTTACACCTGGTGCATCAAAATATACAAGGCATGTTGGGCAAAGAATTGGAAGTTGAATTGTTTTTAAATAGTAACAATATACACATCCTTTGTATTACTGAACATTGGCTAAAAGATTATAATTTCATGTTTAATTTCAGAAATCACCAGGTGGTCAGTTCCTTCAATAGAGAAAAAAGTTTACGTGGTGGCTCCTTAATATTAGCAGATAAATCATTATTATATAAAGAACGTAAGGATATTGTGAGCCTCTCTGTTGAACGAACTGTAGAAATGGCTTGTGTCGAGCTCGAGCACCTCATTGTTGTAAGTGTTTACAGACCCCCATGTGCTACTTATGACCATTTTGAAAGGATTGTGGAAGAAGTTTTACTCAAACTTAGTAAACAGAACAAGTCTGTTGTAATGTGTGGAGACTTTAATATCAATCTCCTTGAAACTTCTTCCATTAGTATTAAGTTTAGCTCATTGTTTAAATCGTATAATCTTGTAAATTTATTCTTAGAACCAACACGTATTGCTGGGCCTAGTGCGACCTGTATAGATAACATTTTTACAGATGTTAAGCCCTTGCATAAATCAATTATTCAAAATTTAAGTTCAGATCACTGTGGACAGTTAGTATCACTACCTTACATACACAAAAAACAGAAAAATAAGAAAGTTGTGTTTGTTCCAATAAATGAACATCGCTTGGAGAGGTTTAGAAGTAATATAATAAAAAGACTTCCATCACTTTCGTTTAAAAATAGTGCTAATTATTTGTATGCTACATTATTTGAAATTATACGTTGTGAATTTAGTAGAATATTTACTTCTAAAACTTTCTCTTTTAACAGTCGCAAATCATTTAATGAATGGGCGACAGTAGGAATTTATAAAAGTAGGCGAAGGTTATACGAGCTTTATGATGAAAGATCATATAATAGTAGTGTTATATTTAGAGATTATGTAAAAACATATTCTAAAATATTTAAAAAAGTGTGCTCCACTGCTAAGGCTTTACATTTAAGCAACAAAATTAAAACTGCATCCGACAAAATTAAAATGACCTGGAGAATAATAAATAGTGAAACGGGCAAGGTCAAACCGCGCAACTCGGATTTTCAATTGAATATTAACAATAATTTAACGCGATCTGATCAAGAAGTTGCTATGGCTTTTGAGAAACATTTTACTGATGTTCCTTTTTTGACAACAAAATCATTAAATTCTTCTCCTACTGTCGCCGAATCATTGCTCAAACAAAATGTAAAGGCTTGTTCAAATACTTTTAAATTCCATAGGGTACTGCCAAAAGATATCGTTAAATATTTTAAAACTATTGATGTTAAGAAAACGGCAGACTTATGGGGGATTTCCGTTAAAGTTATTTTATCTATAATAGATACATTAGCACCTTATCTAGCCACTATATTCAATATAAGCGTCGAATCTGGTGTGTTTCCTGATTTAATGAAACATAGTAAAGTCATACCTATATTTAAATCTGGTAGTACATTAGACCCCGCCAATTTTAGACCAATTTCTGTACTACCAACATTAAGTAAACTTTTTGAAAAAATTATTTTAGATCAGATGTTAAGTTTCTTTACTATTAATAAATTGCTACATAATAATCAATTCGGTTTTACAAGGGGTCGCTCGACAACTGACGCTGGAGTTGAGCTTATTAAACATATTTTTTGTGCATGGGAGAATTCAGAGGATGCTTTGGGTATATTTTGTGACCTTTCCAAGGCCTTCGACTGTGTTCACCATGAGACATTAATCAGGAAGCTACAGTACTATGGTGTCAAGAACACAGCGCTTAAACTTATTATTTCATATTTAAGTAATAGAAAACAGAAGGTTATTATCAATGGTAAAAGTTCTTCCGGGTCACCTGTACTAATGGGTGTCCCTCAGGGCTCGATTCTCGGCCCATTCCTGTTTCTGGTGTATATTAATGACTTACCTCACCTTGTAGGGGATAGTCATGATATAGTATTATTTGCTGATGATACTTCCTTGATTTTTAAACTTAAACGTCAATCATTTATATGTGACGAAGTGAATAATGCTATATCAAAATTAGTGCATTGGTTTAACGTTAATAATCTGCATTTGAACGGAAATAAAACTAATTGTGTTAAATTTACAACAACGAATGTTCAAAATCTGAATACCAATGTGTTTTTAAATGGGGAGGAATTGAGCCCTGTTGTATCCACTGTTTTTCTTGGCATCACTCTTGACGCAAAGCTCCAGTGGGGCCCCCATATATCCAAATTAGCAAGCAGACTAAGTTCTGCAGCCTATGCTGTAAAAAAGATTAGAAGTCTCACTAGTGTCGAGACAGCTAGATTAGTTTATTTTAGTTATTTTCATAGCATAATGTCTTATGGGATTTTGCTATGGGGAAATGCGGCTGATTCAGAAACTATTTTTGTTTTACAGAAGAGGGCCATTAGAGCTATTTACAATCTAAAACCGAGAGAGTCTCTTAGAGATAAATTCAAAGAAATTAATATATTAACTTTGGCCTCTCAGTATATTTACGAAAATTTAATGTATGTTCACAAAAACAAAGATAGTTTTAGTAAAAGAAGTGATATACATTCTGTAAACACTAGGAACAAACACAAGCTAGTGATACCAGTTTCTCGACTCCACAGAGTCAGTAATTCATTCTTGGGGCAATGTATACGCTATTACAACAAGGTCCCGGAAAGTGTACAGGTTCTCTCTATTACCAAGTTTAAATGTTTTATTAAGCTGAAACTGTATAAAAAGGGTTATTATAGTATAAATGAATACATGGTTGATAATAACCCCTGGGAATGAGGTGATCGCTTCCAAGCAGTTTCTAAAATAAATTTTGTAAATAGTTCGTAATCATTTATATTGTAAAATTTATTTTAAAAAAAAGTCCCGCTGGGTTTCTTGCTGGTTCTTCCCAGGACAGAGGGTTTTTTCGAACCAGTGGTAAAGTAAAAAATGACTTTCAATAAGAATTACACATGTAATGTATATTGAATAAAAAATATTCTATTCTATTCTATTCTATTCTATCAAATTGCAGGTATTGTAATTCTAGGCATAATACTCTTTTGCATAAAGATAATTTCCATAAAGACCCATCTTCGTCTAATGTAGCACTTTCAACAAATTTCAATTCATCTTCTAACGCTGCTTATGTCATATTATCTTTAGTGTTGGTATGTGTAAAAGCCAAAGACGGCAAACATCACACAGCCAGACTTCTGCTTGACAATGGAAGTACTTGTAATTTTATTACGGAAGATATGAGCAATAAGCTTGGTTTGGTAAGATATAACACTGATTCCAGTATCTCTACAATTAATAACCAAGTCACACGGGCCACCCAAATATGCGAACTAATTTTTGAGTCACACTTTAGTGATTATAAAGCATATATTAGTTGTTATATTTTGCCAAAAATTCACACACCCAACCTAATTCGTACGTAAACATAAAGCATATACGAATTCCTTTAGAAATAAAATTAGCTGACCCTAAATTCAACCTACCTTCTTCTATTAACATTTTAGTGGGTGCAGAAATATTTTTCTCTTCTTTGATTCTCAGGAAGAAAAAGCTTGCGATGAAATGGTCAAATTGTAGTGACGATACCGTTGAAGACCTCACCTGATTGTCTGGGTGATTCATATGCCTTAGCTAAGTAAAGGTTTCTTGCACTTGAGCGTAAGTAGTAGAGTATATACGTGGTAGAGCCATGCTGCAGCTATTTTTGTAGTTTAGTTTTAGCACAAATGGGTCGGATCGACCGGCGAAGGAACACGCTCTCACAGAATACCAGCGGAAAATAACAACTTAACACTGCTGTGTTTCGTATGGTGAGTGTTGAAAACCGGAGAACTTTTTTACTGGAAAAGACGCATTCCATCTTAGTCGTCACGGGTGACAACGCATCTGCATTTTGATTCTTTATTGAGGATAAATGTATATGTCTATGGGTCACAGCAACCACTTACCATTAGATGGACTGTGTGCTCGTTTGTCACTATATCTTATAAATAAATAAATTTTACCGAGACTCTCAATACAAGCAAAATTATCACGAATTCATTAGAGAAAATCTAGGTCATTTCACAAATAAACATAATTTTTACTTGCCGGTATTATACGAGAGTCGAGTGCAACAATAAAATTGTGCGTTGTATTTGATGCATCCGCTACTACGACATCTGGTAAGAGTTTCAACTATATAGAAATGGTGACTTCAAAAAAACAAGATGATCTTATGTATAGACATAAATCAGAGCTTATGAATAACTTACTTTAAAAAATGCCATCATCTCCAAACATACATACAATAACACTTCCAGAGCTTACACTGTTGACATATAATTATTATAATTATTATTATAATTAATTTCTCGTTCATCCAATTATAAAAAAAACTAGTAAGAGTATTTGCATACGTTCAATGTTTCATTTTTAATTACAAAATAAGGCATCGAAACATAATAACTTCCTCGCTTTATCAGAATTACGATGATCACAACTACATCTTATTTATTCTCAACAGACTTGGTTTTGGTCAGGGACTCTTAATATTACTAAAACCAAGCAAAATAGGAACTAAAAACACTTAGAGTTTGAAATTTGTAGAAATATATAATTATAAATTCTAATAGATACCTAATTGTTTGAATAAAATATTTTGATATTAGTTTTTTTTTTCATTTCTAACAATAAAAAGTTAGTAGTATTACTTAATTAAAATAGTACTTAATTTTAAACAAACTGCTAATAACATAATAATTCCCCTCAACTAGATGGAGTGACGACCTGGTAAGACATGCAGGAAGTCGATGGATGCAGGTGGCTCAGGACCGTGCTTTGTGGCATTCCTTGGGGGAGGCCTATGTTCAGCAGTGGTTTCGTGAAGGACTGTATTGACGATGATGAACCACATTTCGTCTTCTAAAACTACCTACACTATTTTTAATGTTCCGTACCAAAATTGGAAAACGGATCACCAGTAGCATGCCTGTCCGCCTGATCGTAAGTCCGTGCTCATTGTTAAATCGCGACTCGCACTTGCCCAGTTGTTTGTTTTCAATAACCAAGTGACAGCCCTATGAAAGCTGGTAAAAATTTCAGAATTTTGAAATTTTGAAGCTGACAGTAGCGACACCACGTCGCGTATTCGAATCTTGAACGGAACAAGTAATTTTTGATATAATGATAATAGTGCCGGAAGTGGATGTGTGTCTCGTTAGAATTTTTATCTGAATGTAAAACGTCCACACGGTACAGGAAAAAGTTCTAGTGAGGAAGTGAAGTTTACCCTTGATTTTAAAAACTTTCTGTTAGGCTTTATTGGCCATCATCGTATTCCGTTCTGCGTCCGGCTGCGTCTAAACATATCTGCGATGCCATCGCGTATACGTTACACCGGAAACTTTTATTAAGATGACATTTTCATTAACGGTTATTAATAAAAAGACCGTGCTCCATCCGTGCTTATGCGTACTCTTGTGTAAATTGACATTTCTTATTTATTAAAAAAAAAACGTTACCCCATACTAGGATATTCTCCCGTATTGTGGAGGCAGTTTACATACGTATTTTGCACGAGGACAAACATCCAAAAACCCGGGAACAATTATTTGTAGGCAATACTTGCATTATGCGGGACTCGAACCCGCGGCCCTCAACGTAACAATTCAAATCTAAGCCTCAGCTCTATAGAGCCGTCGAGGCCATAAATAGGATGTTATTTGAAGTGTGCACAAGAACACACAGGTGTGTGTACAGTTTTAACTCCTCTCTAAACCTCGTACCATTGAACATCCAGTCGCTCGACGGATCTCCAACGCTTTGTTGTTGAAATACACGCAGAGTATTTTATCTCCGGAAGGTAATACTGACGGATAGAAAATACTTTTGGCATTAAAATCTGTCCATTATTTATTTACATTAGGAGTCAGTACAGAAAAAAACAGGTTTTTAAAAATAACAGATTGGATTTTGAAAACAGGTCTAAAAAGCTTGGAACAAGCTTCTTCTATGTTCTTGCTTAGGGAGGTAACCTATAATGAAAAGAAATGCCTGTTTTCATATTTGGTTATACACAAATATGCTAGTATCCGAACCTTACGAGTGTCTATACAAATAATAACTAAAACTAACTTATTACTATATTATACAACATGCGTGCAGCAAAGTACTCAAAACGTCGGGAATATATTGACAATAAGACAATTAAACGCGATAACATCTCTAATAACTGGTTTCATTCAAAGAGATAAAGGTTATTGTCAATGACCTGTATTATCCACTCGCTTCGCAGAGCATAAATTATAATTTATTAATTACTAGCGATCAGCCCGGCTTCGCACGGTTAATTTCTAATCTAATCTTTTGAATCTAAACCATTCTCTTCTAATCAACTTAATCACACACAAAATTTCATCAAAATCGGTCCGGCCGTTTACGAGGAGTTCTGTCACATACACACGGACAGAAAATTATATAAAATATAATATGCATGTATTATACATATAAACCTTTCACTTAAATCATTCTGTCGAATTATGAAAACCGCATCAAAATCCTTTGTCTAGTATAAAAGATCTAATGTAATCGATAATAATAAGGAAAACATGTATTTTTGGCAGTTGAATACAAACCGGTCTGTTGAAAAAATATACCCTAAAAATTGCCTACCTAACTTTGAGGTATTGTATTGAGTATTTATTTTCGAGTAATACCTTTGAACCATATCGTTTTATAACAAGTATATAAACATTTGTTATAATATAATAATAAATTTACCATAAACAACCTTGCTCCGTAGTTATGAATTTTCATTATCGCCGTGTTTTCGCAGGTATGTAGGTACTTTCGAAAGTCGTTATATAATAGTTTTGCATTGTAATTTCCACATTGTTTTAGATACACATACACTTATCGGAAGTTGGAGTAACTAGATGAGGACAGATAGAATGACGTCGACGTCGACGAAGGACGTCGGTGGTGATTCTGATGCTGATGATTGTTTCGACAACAGTATTACTTTGAATACCTGCATCTTTAGCACACGTAGTCGAAGTAACGGATCAGGTCCTGGAACATCGTCTTCATCACAACCACCACAGGAGTTTTTGTTTCTGCCACCACCATCTATACCATCATCGCCACTTCCACAACCGCCGCTATCTCCACCGCCATCGCCGCTGTCACCAAACCCGACAAGGTATTACGAATTACTTTCTTCCGAAGACGCAGGTCCGCAAGAGAATTTAGGGCTTAGCTTTCCATTGACGTCCGTCGAGTTGGGTGTTGATACGCATTTTTACAGAAAAGTTACACTATTATAAGCACACAAATAAAGTTTCAACATGCCGAAACGCGTAATTTTTGAGAAAAGAATTATTGAAAATCAATTATTCTTGCAATGTTTAGACATAAACATCCTACCGTAAAACTGGCGCCATTTTGTAATGTCATTGTCGAAGTCAATAGGGATGTCGATTCTTTCCGAAAAAGGTCGATTTTTAAATCGATTCAAATCGTAAGCTGATGTATCGGTTCACAAAAAATCGATTTCTAAAATATCTATATTTTTTTAATGTTTCTATTTATAATGTAAATATAAACCCTCTGTATGAAAAACAAGAAAGATACTATGATAAATGATCTCTTATTGAAATTTGTTTTATTTAACAGTACCTATTAGGGCAGATAACAAATAAAATAGGTTAGGTTCAACTTATGTCAAAGAACCGAATTGATTGACTCCGACTCCACCTGGTACGAGTCTGTCCTACCCCTAGAGTGGTTTTATAGAGCCGGAGGCGCGTAGGGGGAGCAGCCTCTACGCCTTAGCGTAACAAATCGCAGGCATCCCTCCTCGCCTCCGCAGCTTCGACTTGTTGGTTGCCTTCGGCGACCAGCCTCAGCCGCTCCGGCTCGTTCGATGCCTACGATTTGTTACAGCAGGCGGTAGCTGCTCTTCCCGCAGCGCCGGAGACGTAGCAGTCTCAAAATAGATACAGAAA